AGCCCAGAGCCATTGACCCCAAATCACTTGCTTACTATGAAGTCAAAAGCAGCCCTGCCTCCTCCAGGTAAATTCATCAAAGAGGACATTTACGCACGTAAAAGGTGGCGGCAGGTGCAGTACTTATCAGAACAGTTTTGGTCTCGTTGGAAAAAGGAGTATCTTTCCAACATCGCTACAAGACAAAAATGGCACACTCCAAGGAGAAACTTGAAAGTTGGAGATGTTGTCATGGAAAAGATGGACGATCTACCGCGCAATGAATGGAGATTAGCACGAGTAATAGACACAGTAACTGACAAGGATGGACTCGTGAGAAAGGTAAAGCTTCGCTTTGGAGAAAAGAGAGAGAAAGGACAATGTTCTGGAAAACCTTCCATTGTGGAACGCCCGGTGCAGAAACTGGTTCTGCTCCTAGAGACTCTTTAATGACATTTACAGTTTAAGATTTACAGTTTATACTTGAATATGGACTCTTTGTATTGAAAGACTTTACAGGTTGCAAGTAATTTCTTCATTAGGAAATCATTTTCGCTACATTTGGTTCAGCTAGCTCTAATGATTTGGTGGGAGTGTAAATGACTTTGATAATATTTCCCCATTTTGCTAATTGGTTCAGACGTGTTATTTTATTTTTGTAAGAATAGTACAGTTTAAGTTTTTACTTTGAAGGAATTCGGAAAAGGTGCCGTAAAGCGGAAGTAATTGCTGCAAAAGCTAAAAGGTGTTCCGCGAACGTGAATTAACAGAAAAAGTGTGCTCACTGCAAAGGTCGAGAAAAGTATAAATTAAGGTTTTATTTATTGACAGATTATCGTTCATTAGCACCCGGTTGATTAGGGAACAAGGTTGGTATAACGTTTTTGTTGTGTAAATGTATATTTCATTTGTTTTCACGGAGTTTATAATTAGCCTTTTTGTTTAACGGTAACTTTTTCACCCACTAGATGGTGCTATTGTACTTCAGTTAAAGACATGTTTAACTCAGTGATTTCAAAGGTTCAACATTGTAAAAAGGGGCAATGGTTATTTCATGATAAAGACAGAAGATTTAAAAGGACAAGGTAAAAAAGGGTTTAATAAATATACATAGAAATACATGGTTATAGCATTCAAAGTAGAAATTGTCAAAGTTAATAATTTAAGGTAATTCATTAAGATAGTATATGGTTAAAAAGGTATAAGGTAAAACACATGCTGCTAAGAGTTACTAATTGTATCGTTTGTCTGTTTATATTGTAGCTCTTACGGTGTGTTCACACAAAAGGAAAGGCTCAATAAAAGAAAGTTGTGAACCATCAGTTTGAGAGACCATCTTTTCGACCGCGGCTGCTACAGTTAACAAAAACACCGCAAAATTCAGTGGAGGTGCCATTTCACCAGTGTTAGAGGAGCCGGTCAGGTGGCGTGAATATGAAAGACGTTAAGCGAATAAGTCAACCAAAATTCATACATATGAATATAAATTGTAAAAACGTTTTATACATGTATATTAGACAAATATTGATATTTTAATATACTTTTATTTATATATAAAATTATATTGATCCAATGACATGTGACAGGGGTGTGATGTGGGCCGCGGCTAAAAATAGTGTGCATGTGTCCGAATCGCCAACAGAATGAGTGCCCTGACTCACTCACTCAGTCGCTATATAGTCCCGAACTATATAGTGAGTGAGTGAATAGGGTATAGTGTGGACATTCGGATACAGCCGTACCTTTCTTCAGCGAGTTTCTTCCGTTCGCTCTCGTTGATTGGCTCTTTTTATCACGCAGAGTTTTGCATGCGGATCGCAACCAAGATATTATCAAAAGCTCACCAAGACATGTTTGTCCCCATTCCCAGTCACAGCAAAGTACATATTGTAGATTCCGTTAAATAAAAAAGCATTGCGTTTGGTAAACGTTAATTATGTCCTACTTTCTAAGACCAGCGGAATCATAGAAGTCATTTGGGGGCAATACAAAAGCATGACTTTTGTGGAACTTCTTTGGTTGAATGACATTCTGTAATGGTCTATCTTCAGTGAAATCACATATGTTAATTATTTAAGCTTCTACCCCATGGGAGTGTTTTGCTCATCCTGACTAATTAGACAGAATGTAAGGATGAACATGTACAAACAATCTAAAAACAAACATTCTACGTAAGTAAAAGTATGTGTTTAAGAGCATTTTGTTTAACACATGCACAGCCTAATACAGAAGACAACTGACTACAGCCATTTCTATGCAGCAACTGCACAACAGAATACATTGAGTACCCAGAATTGTAATCATTCATGTATTCTGCACACACACACACACACACACACACACACACACACACACACACACACACACACACACACACACACACACACACACACACACACACACACACACACACACACACACACACACACACACACACACACACACACACACACACACACACACACTGGATCAAACAGGAAATGGAGAGGGCAGGAAGTGACAAGTGAAACTCATGGATGACAGGACAGTATATAGAGCTGTATGTGCTGTAGTTTCTGCACCCACAGCCTACAGTAATAATTAATGTTATAGATAAAAAAACATCAACATAACGTTGCTTTGAAGAGGAGATAACGAGAGCACAGAGAACGCAAACGCCAAAGTCAATGCAAGAAAGATGGAATCATAATGAACAGTGTATATTGTCAGTGACTTACACTGTGTCTACTCCATGTTCAGTCTAAGACGACCAGTAATCTTTTTTATATGACTTCAATGTGATATTCTTTTTGATTATTGGAGATTACAATGTGTGTGTGTGTGTGTGTGTGTGTGTGTTTTGTTGTATTCCATCTGCAGTAGTGTCATGTATTGTATTACTGTATGGATTGTACAATATTATACCGCATTATGTTTAAGAATTCTGGGGCAACAGTAGCTCAGCTGGTAGAGCATTGGCCTTTGAGCCTGAAGGTCGTGGGTTCGAGCCCACCGTAAGACCTACTTCACGACTCCCACTGGTGACTGCTGTCGTTGTGTCCTTGGGCAAGACACTTAACCCCACTTTGCCTGAAGCCCCCACTGAAAGATCTCAGCTCCTGTGGACTCACCCCCTGCAGGAGGGTCAGTGAGGGGCTGGTGCTCTGTGGACTGCGTGGCATCTCTGGCCACCCCCCCGACCCAGAAATGGATTAAGGGGAAGAAGATGGATGGATGGATGGATGTTTAAGAATTCTACTGTATGATATTGTTATTCCATAGTATTGTGTTGAATGTGTGATTGGAATTAGAAAAACGTTCGTCCAACGTCTTTTTGAACCAGGTTCTTGCTGTTATGTTGATGTATGTGAAAGTGACAGATGTAAGAAATGTGAAATCGGTAATCAGCCTCCTCAACGCTAACATTAATCGGCATCATACAGTCTCAATCAGTTTCTCCAGGTACAGCAGGGACATGGAATGAAGTAGAAAAGTCTACAGGGTTAATAATTACTTTTAAAAATAAGAGATTATGTTTGATTTTCTTTTTGAGTCAGCCTTTCATTGTGGTAGAAATAATTAGAACCTTTCCTTTGTGATGTGAAGCAGATGGACAGGAGCCGACATATGGCAGCCAGAAAGGAAGAGGATGAGGAGGGGGAGAAGAGAAAAATAACGCTCTTCACATCATGAGTAACTTGTGCTTATGTTTGCTATTGTCTCCTGAGTCCAACTACAGAGGGTTTAATTGAGGTGAGGCGGCTGCTGTTTTAGCTCACTCTCATCTGACAGCCACACGGTACCTCTGGGAGAGAGCTTCTACTGGAGACATGTGCAGGCTCCACAGCGCTGCCATTAAAAGCATTGGAACTGAGATGTATGTTTCAATGGTCAAACATGAGCAGTTGTGTGGCGCAGATTGTATATCATGTTATTTCTTTTGTGTGGAAAGCTTGAATCTTTTTAATCTTGTCTATGTGGAGCTGATGACTACATACAGTCTCCAGGGGGTTATTACCTCTGTCCAGGAGGTAAAGTGATCAGTGGCGTTTGTTTGTCTGTTTTTTCTGTGACCAACATAACTCATAGGGGATTTGGAAAAAGATATTCAGGAACTGCGCTCAATGGCCCAAAAGATGGAGGTGGTTGGAGGTGGTTGCAGTTCCCTTTCTAGATACAGTATAACATTAAAAACAAGTAAGTCCACCAATATGACATACAGTCTCCTCTCAGCTTCTTTTTGGTCTTATGAACCACTAAACGCCTTAATGCTGAATACTGACAATTATAAAGTTGTTAAAAAACATATGTTGTTTTTTTATGCAGTGTGCAGTGTTCCCAATGCATTGAAATGCAATATGCAAATTATGCTTTTTGCCTGACCTGTCCACAGCCTGATTTTGGACGAACAGCCTGGCGCCCCCTAATATTTCCGCTCAGTTTCATTTCACTCCAGCAACGAGGTCAGGCAAAACAGAAATCATAGACTTCAGAAACGCAGATGGCTCAAAGAACCAGGAAGTACAATCGGCCAATCAGATTCAGAAGATTTAAAGCCAGAACAAAAAGGGTAAAAAGGTTATTGCCCTGCTTCTAAATACATCACAACTAAACATCTGCAGTTGGATCAAGAAAAAATACCATAATGTTGCAATGTCAGACGGTCAGTGAAATGAAATGATGCACCAACTACTTTTATGTTTTCATTCATTGACCAAACGGCAAAAGCCTTAGTTCCATTGTGCTCAATCAATCAATCAATCAATCTTTATTTATAGGGCGCTTTTCCTGCACAGGGCAACACAAAGCGCCTCACAGTCCACACCACACAATGCACAAATCATCACCGTTAAAATACAATTAAAAACACATATGTAATTAAAAAGCATTAAAATCACACAAGTAATTTAAAAACATAAGAATCACACAAGTAATTAAAAACAATAGAATAGTTAATAACACAAAAAGTTACAACAATAAATAACAAGGTGTGTTAAAAAGATAAAATTCTTTAGTTGTATGCACACACTGAAGGGACTCACCACCATCTTGTTGAGGGACACCCAGCAGTCGGAGGGGAAGTCCTGGAGCATGGGGACCAGGAACTGCAGACAGCCGTCCCAGTGACACAGAAGAAGCATCATCCCAATCAGGTTTATGATGCGCATGACGGCACTGGCCAGGTCATAGGTCATGTGGAAGATCTGAGAGACAGCAACAGAGCACAAATACACACATAAATAATCTGGCATATTTACACTGTATCTACAGATGTTATGAATGTACACTGTCCTAACAAATAAATAAATACAAATCTGAGAGAGTTAACTTTGGTAAAAGTAAGGAACTCACTGAAACCTTGGTATTTTGTCAGCTAATTTGGTTAAAGTTAGGGTTGGGCAAGCTTGTTAGCTAGCAAAGCCAACACGAGTGAATCACCGCTGCAGCTCCGAGGTTAGTCTGTGTTCTATAATGACCAAGCCTAGCTCCAGACAAACTTTAGAGAATATTAGCACGGACGTACGTCAGCTTTGACTTTGCAATAAATCTTTAAGCTGTTAGAGCAGAGCTGTGTTTTTATGAGAGGAGTAAGAGTATTAGTAAGTAATGTTTATTTATATAGCGCTTTTTACAGACCAAGGTACAGACCCAAAGCGCTTTACAATGTTCAGAGTCAGATATTGTTCCAATCCTTCCACACACGGTGATGACAGAAGCGAGTCCAGAACACACTGGACCATCAGCTCCAACACCATCCATTCACTCTCTCATTTACATTAGGACCTATTGTTCATGTTTTTAGTGGTAGGGGGAACAGGAGCACCCGGAGGAAACCTACGCAGACACAGGGAGAACATGCAAACTCCACTCAGAAAACTGTATTATATGAGATATTCACACAACAATATTATAAATGAGGACTTTTAAACTTTATTTAATCTGTTGATTGACAAAATCTTACAATCTCATTGGACCTCAATAACTACTCATCAACTCTTTTGGTCTTCTGTTACATTGCAAAATGTTTTTGATGCAACACAAAAATAAATTAAATAACGAATTACTCTGCACCTTACTATAGGCCCCAACATAAAAAAAATATGGTACATAATACATGTTTTTACAGCTAGTGTTTTTGTTTCAAAGTATGGACCGCTGACAAGGTATCCATCTCATGTCATGTCGCAATATGTATCATAAAAACACATATACATATACATATATATATATATATATATATATATATATATATATATATATATATATATACATAAATCTTGTAGCCCTAAAATGAAGAAAAAAATCTGTTCACAAATAGATTACGGATTTTATGTATATATTAATAATTTAACTTAATTGTCTGGATTAAGGTGAAGACCAGCCTCAAGCTCAAGGAAATGCATGAAAATTATGTCTAATGCAAGAGCACAAAAAATACTATGGTTTATCAGGCACAAGTAAATCAGAAATATATGAAGGAGCCAGTCTGGAGGGCTTTATAAACAAGCAGCAAAGTCAGTCGATGTGGCAGTAATGTGAGATCATTTCCTTTAGTTGCAGAAAGTTTCTTCTCATCCAGTCACTGATATTGTTAACAGTGAAAAGGGCTTATGGGAAGAAACTATTAGCATGGCTCGAAACACTTCAAAATAAAATCAATTGATGTTTCTCTGCTCGTGATGGCATCAGATTACAGCAAATTCAATGGTTTTTCTAGTCATGTTCTCAGAGAAACGTACAGATCATGTGTGTGGCATTGAAGCCTGGGACTCAATCATAAGTAAGAACAAACTACCAGACCAGGTATATCTCCTTGTCAATTCATTAAAAAAGAGCAAATCATTTAGTTTTGCTTTAGTTCTGGAGTATAAAAAGTCAAAGCTCATGATGTGTAACTAACAAACAGTATTATAAACAGTATACATTATTTGTATAGCACAGTTTCAAGTGCTTCATATTGTCAACATTTAAAAGTCCCACTCTCAGGCACGGCTAAAAATAACTTTTCATAAGCCAGGGCAGCAGCATCTGGATTAATCTACTGAGCTCTCAATCACCATCTTTCATTGATCAATACTCTACACCATTATTATTTATTAGTGAAAAGTTAGAATATAGTTGTCTATTTGAGTTCTCTTCTTGTTCACGGTCCTACAGGCTACGAGCTGTGCTACATTTACATTTAGATTCTGATAAGAGGGAATATGAAAACATATTATTGCTATCTTCTCATGAGCATGCATCATGTTCAGTTTCAGGGTTCAATGCTTCTGCTTAAAGTGGATCTTGGGAAATTGTGGCCCGAGGGCCGCATACGGCCTGATTCATGTTTCATTGGGGCCTGCAGAGCCTTCACAGCTGATAACCTCATACTTTCCACACGGCAGCCAGCGTATTCATCCCTATGAAGGCCAAAGACTGGCCACTTCATACGTGCTATAACTAAGGGTGTCGCGGTCACCGGTGAAGGCAGTAACTTCAGCAAAACGTGTTGATGGCAGTGATAATCCTTTCAATATAAAAACACAGAGTTTTCTCTGTTGGGTCCCACGTCAGCAGTTTTCAGAATCTATTCCGAGTCTAAAATTGTTTTAGGGTAAAAACCCTCACTGCACACTTAAGCATTAAGATGCAAGTTACCAGCTGGAAAAATCATGGGCACGCCTGTCCCTCTTGGCCCCCAGGAGCTCTATGAGCAGGTCATGAGGAGACAGACCAGGAGCATCCTCTCTGATCCAACACATGTACTTTTGCCTGAATATGAGCTTTTGAACTCTGGGAGGAGGTACAGAGTGCCTCAATCGCTTTAAGAACTCATTCATACCTGTTTCAGTGAATCTGTTAAATGAGGACATGAGAAGATGATGTGTGTGAACTGTAAAGCATGTGTGTTCGTGTCTTTGTGTGTATGTATTTTTTGTACTGAAATGTAGCAGACCCATCAGTCCAAACCAAATCTCTCCTAAAGGAAACAAAAAGAAACGATCTTGATCTTGATCTTGAAGTCATGGGTTGTCATTTTTTTTCTTTCATAAATACATTTGTTTGTCCCAACTGGAAGGGTCTAGTAAAAATAATATTATGTGAAAAAACCAGAGCACAACATGCTGTCTTTATCTTATTAGAGCTCCTCTCCTTTTCTGTCTGAAAAACTGAGATTGAGTCAAACAGTTTTGAGAGCGATAAGATGGACTTATTACATAGTTATGTTTTGTGGTCCACAATGTGTAATAAATAATAGTAATGAAAAATACTAAATCACATACAGTATTAGTCACAATAATCGTCGGCTAAAATGTTCATACTGTGACAACCTGAGAGATACCACGGGTCGGCAACATTTTATTATCAAAATAGCGTGATCCTAGCCTGGCCTTATCCATCCGTACACTCCGTTCAATCATCATTTCACTGCATGTAACGTCTGGGTCTGGTCCCTGTGTTAGCGAATACAATCGGTTGAATTTCAACCGACCAATCAGAGAGCGCGGAAGGCGGGTGTTGTAGTTAGTTGTGGGTGACGTCAAGAGTTTGCTTTGAACGGGAAGGTTGTAGTTTGGTAATGGTGAAAAATGCAATGGTAAAGTAATCCGGTCTGGTTCTATCAAGAAATTGAAGCCGGAGCAAGAGGAATGTTTAGCAAATGTAATCGCTAGAAAAAATTGTTGCGCTACATCCCCCGGGCTCCGTTAGCGGCAAAGGAGATGGCTAGGCTAAATGTTAAATGCTAACAACAGACTCGGGCGCATTACATACGTCACGGTAAACTCAGATCCAATCGTTCTAATCTGCAAAAGGAGTTAGCCCCTCCCACCTGTTAACGGAGTCAAAGGAGCACCTCCAGACCTTAGTATGAAATGTCATTTGTACTATGGTATGGTACGACCAGGCTAGTGTGATCCCACTCTTCTGCCACACGCACACACAGTAAAATCAAATCAATAACAAAAGCTGTGAAAAGTCAATACATGTGAACTACATGTGGAAATATTTAGTTGTACTTTACCAACTAACAATAATGTTTTAGTTGAACAGATGTTTTACTTCAAAGCCCAAAACCAGTCATGATTTCTCCTCAGCACTGTTTCCTCTCTCAGGAAATCACTGTCTCTTTGAGCCGCTGTCCGGAACTGGCATTCAGCTTTTTATTGATTTTGATACAAGTTGTCTGATTTTCTTTATGAGTCACTCTCTCGAGCGGCTGGACATAAGGCTCTGGTGGGGTCTCGACAGGATGCAGAGAGGAAGTACAATCGTAAATGTTTTTGGTATAGTTGTTTCATCCACTAATCTTCTCCTGTATACTTTTTTGTTTCATTCATTTCATACATTGTGGTTGTCCCAACAGAAAGAGTGTTGTTAAAGTGACATTTTTTCAAATCCGACCAAAACATTCTAGTGGCTTAATCTCATTCGTTTTTTTGTAGCTTTTACTTACAGAGGGGGGCGACAGTAGCTCAGTTGGTAGAGCATTGGCCTTAGAGCCTGAAGGTCGTGGGTTCAATCCCACAGTAAGACCTACTTCACGACTCCCGCTGATGACTGCTGTTGTTGTGTCCTTGGGCAAGACACTTAACCCCACTTTGCCTGAAGCTCCCACTGAAAGATCTAGGCTCCTGTGGACTCACCACCTGCAGGAGGATCAGTGAGGGGCTGGTGCTCTGTGGACTGGGTGGCATCTCTGGCCACCCCCCCGACCCAGAAATGGATTAAGGGGAAGAAAATGTATGGATGGATGGATGGACTTACAGAGAACTACGGTAATTGCCTGAGTATTCTAACGCTGTGACAGAGGCCAAACACACATGCAGGTGATAGAACCAAGTGTTTTCAGAGCAAGAAGCAATAGTTAAGCATGAACAAGGATATATTTCAAAGAAGTATAGGGAGATTTTTCTACCAATTAGACATGTATGTGTACTGTATGTGGGCGGCACGGTGGCACAGTGGATAGCACTCTCGCTTCTCAGCAAGAAGGTCCTGGGTTCGAATCCCGGTCGGAACAGGGCCTTTCTGAGTGGAGTTTGCATGTTCTCCCTGTGTCTGTGTAGGTTTCCTCCAGGTGCTCCGGTTTCCCCTACCACTAAAAACATGAACAATAGGTCTGAATGTAAATGAGAGAGTGAATGGATGGTGTTGGAGCTGATGGTCCAGTGTGTTCTGGACTCGCTTCTGTCATCACCGTGTGTGGAAGGATTGGAAC